TTGCCTTGTCTTTGTTTCCCAGAATTGCCTTTGCTATTCTATGTCTCTTCTGGTTCCAAATGAATTTTAGGATTGTTTTCTCTAATTCTGTAAGATATGCTGTTGGTATTTTGATTGGAGTTGTATTAAATCTGTGCAGCAGTTTAGAAGTATAGCCATTTTCAATATATTGGTTTTTCCTACCCAAGAGCAAGGGATATCTTTCCATTTTCTGATATTCTCTTCAGTCTCCTTTTTCAGAGTAGTGTAGTTTTGAAGGTAGAGGTCTTCCTTTTTAGACTGATTCCTGGGTATTACATTTTTTGAGGATGCTATTGTGAAAGATGTTTGCCTAATTTCTTTCTTAGTGAGTTACTTATTTACAGGAAGGCTATTGATTTTTGAACGTTGACTTTGTATCCAGCTATGCTAATGAATTTGCTTATTAAGTCTAGAAGTCTTCTGTTGGAGTTTTTGGAGTCTTCTATGTAGAATATTATGTCATCTGCAAACTTCTTTCCTATCGTTACTCCTTTTCTTTCTTTCTCTTGTTCCGTTATCCTGACTAAAGTTTCCAGAACTGTGTTGAATAAGAGTGGTGACAGTGGACATCATTGTCTTGTACCTGATTTTAAAGTGAAAGCTTTTTTTATCCACTTAGTATGATGTTGACTGTTGGTTTGTCATAGATGGCTTTTATCAGGTTGAGATAAAGACCATCTATTTTAATTTTCTGTAGAGATTTATCACAGATGGGTGCTGGACTTTGTCAAAAGCTTTTTCTGCATCTATTGAGGTGATGATATGGTTTTTGTTCTTGGCTCTGTTAAAATGGTGTATTACATTTATTTGTTTTCATTTATTGATTTATGTATGTTGAATCATCCCTGAATTCCTGGGATGAACCCATCCCACTTGGTCATGGTGTATAATCTTCTTGATGATTTGCTGCGTTCTGTTTACCAGTATCTTAGGAATTTTCGTTCTGTTTACCAGTATTTTAGGAATTTTGCATCTGTATTCATTAGGGAGATTGGCCTGTTAGTTATCTTACTTAGCTGGGTTCTTTTCTGATTTTGGTATCAGGATAATGCCTGCTTCTAGGAATGAATTTGGGAGTATTGCTTCCCTTTCAATTTCGTTAAAGAGTTTGAGAAGTAGTGGTATTACATCTTCTCTAAATTTCTTGTAGAATTCAGCAATGAATCTGTCAGGGCCTTGGCTTTTCTTTGTTGGTAGGGTTGTTTTGTTGTTGTTGGTAGCTTTTTATTTATTTATTTATTTTTTGGTTTTGGTTTTTTTCCGGTACCAGGAATCAAACTCAAACAACCTTGTGCTTGCCAGGCAGGCACTGTGCCACTGAGCTAAATCCCCAGCCCCTGTTGGTAGGTTTTTAATTACATCTTCAATTTCATTGATTGATATTTATTTAGGATTTTTTTTTTTGGTTTTTGGTTTTTCTCCGGTACTGGGAACCGAACTCATGACCTTGCGCTTGCCAGGCAGGCGCTTTTGCCGCTGAGCTAAATCCCCAGCCCCTTATTTAGGATTTTTATGCTGTATCTTCTTGATTCAGGTTTGGTGATTCATAGCTGTCTAGGAGTCTGTCCATTTCTTCTGCATTTTCCATCTTATTAGAATACAAGTTCTCAAAGTAGGTCTAGATGATCTCTTGGATTTCTGCAGGATCTGTTGTGATTTCACCCTTTTCATTCCTAATTGTATAGATTTGAGTCTTTCCTTTTTTTTTTTTTTTGATAAGGTTGGCTAAGTGTTTGTTGATTTTAATCTTTCAAAGAACCAACTCAATTCATTGATTCTTTGTATTGTTTTCTTAGTCTTCATTACATTAATTTTTGCTCTGATCTGTATAATGTCCTTCCTCGAAGGAGCTTTGGCCTTGGCCTCTTGTTTTTCTAGAAGTTTGAGGTTCAACACTGTTTATTTGAGCTTGCTCTGTTTTCCTAATATATGGGTGTTCCCTGCTATACGTTTTCCTCCTAGGACTGCTTTCATTGTGTCCCATAAATTCTGCTAGTTTGTATTGTCATTATCATTTAATTGTAGAGGGGCTGGGGATTTAGCTCAGCAGCACAGCGCCTGCCTGGCAAGTGTGAGGTTGTGAGTTGTATTCCCGGTACCAAAAAACAAACAAACAAAAAACAAAATCATTTAATTGTAGAAACTGCCTAATTTCTTCTTTGATTTCATCTGTGAGCCGGGTGTGGTGGCGCACACCTGTAATCCCAGCACTCAGGAGGCTGAGGCAGGATGATCTTTGTGAGTTTGAGACCAGCCTGGGCTACAGAGTAAGCTCAAGGCCAGCCTGAACTGCACAGTGAGACCCTGTCTCAAAAAGACAAAACAAAAAAAAAAAAATTAATTTTATCTGTGACTCATTGATTATTCAGGAGGGTGTTACTTAATTTCCACGTGTTTACGAAATTCTTGTGGTTTCTTTAGCCATTGATTTCCTATTCCATTGCACTATGGTCTAATGATATGCATGGGATAATTTTGTTTTGTTTTGTTTTGTTTTTTTTTGTACTAGGAATTGAACTCAGGACCTGTGCTTGCCCGGCAGGCGCTTGTGCCGCTGAGTTATACCGCCAGCCCAATTTCAATTCCTTTGCAAGTGTTGTTTCCATCTTTGAGGGTGGCCCTAGTTCTTACAAATTTTGCTGTCTGGTGGCTCAGCCTGTAGTAGAAATCCGGTCCTTTTGTTGTTAGGTTTGTAGATGGGGTCTCAATATGTTGTTCTGGCTGGACTTGAGTGACAGTCCGCCTCAACCTTTGGAGTAGTTAGGACTACGAACATAAGATTCTATACTCCAGTTAAATTTAAGGTTCTTGTAATGAAGCAGGATTTTTCCTTCCAGTGTCTTTTTTTTTTTTTTGAGATGGGCTCTCAACTTAACTGTCCAGGTAATGCCAGTCACTGGCTGATACCATGAATAGGCGCCTTGCCCAGCTTCCCCTGGTTCAGAGTTTAGAGCCCTGTAACAAGTGTCTCATTGGCTTCAGCACATCCAGCAGCTGTGTTTGATGGTGAATCTTAGGTGCTCATGTACTGTCTCGTTCTTTTGGGCGGGTAGCGAGGACTGGGAATTGAATGTAGGGCTTTCAGCGTGCTAGGCAGGTGCTTTGCCTGAGCCAATCCCCAGCCCTTAAGTACTTGCTGTCTTTTAAACCATCTAGATGAGGATGGGGACTTGGTAGCCTTTTCCAGTGATGAGGAGCTGACCATGGCCATGTCCTACGTGAAGGATGACATCTTCCGCATCTACATTAAAGGTAAGGGGCTGCTGCTCTCTGGCAGAGTTTGGTGAAAACAGGAGGCAGGAATCTGCAGGTTGTCCAGGACAGGGCCGTCCTAAGTGCTGTGTCTGGCCTGAGAGACGTCTGTGCGCCTGCTAGAGAGTGGGGTCTGGCGCCAGGAGCACGGGAAGCCTCAGCGGTGTCAGGAGGACCAAACCAAGGCGGGTGCACACAGTGCCCTACCCGCTCCTCTGCTGCCCGGCCCCTTGGCCATGGTGAGCTGCACATGGGGGACCTCTCTGCCAGGAGCTCTGCTTGCTCTGTTGCTGTCACCTGAGCATTGACTTGTGAGTGAACTGCCACCCTTGACAGCCTCGTGGTGACAACTGAAGAGGAGGACTTGGGCCCCACCCTAGTGCCTATCTTCCTTCTCTGCAGAGAAGAAGGAGTACCGAAGGGAGCACCGCCCCCACTGTGCACAGGAAGCGCCTCGCCCCATGGTGCACCCCAATGTGATCTGTGATGGCTGTGACGGGCCTGTGGTGGGAACCCGCTACAAGTGCAGTGTGTGCCCGGACTACGACCTGTGCGCCGTCTGCGAGGGGAAAGGCATTCATAGGGAGCACAGCAAGCTCGTGTTCGCCAGCCCCCCGGGACACTGTGTTGAGGTAGGGACGCCCTGTGGTTCAGGGGCCAGTGCAGGGTAGCGGTAGCCTGGTACTTGACCCTCACTGCGCTGCCCCTTTGCCTACTCCTCCTCAGGGCTTGTCTCTCAGCCGCCTGCTCCGGAAGCTGAAACACGGCCACAGCCGGTGGCCTGGCTGGGAGATGGGCCCACCAGGCAACTGGAGCCCTCGTCCTCCTCGAGCAGGGGACTCCTGTGCCAGCCCCGCCTCGGAATCAGGTAAGGCTTGCACCTGTGGGAGTTCCTGAAGGGCAGGCGCCTGGCTGAGCTGTGGGTCCTGAACTGGTGTACCGAGGTGGGCGGGCCAGGTACTTCCCAGCTGCTGTCCCTGCCTTTTAGTCCTCATAGACCCCTGCAGAGTGGAGCCCTGTTCCACTTCAGATGGTAAAATCAAGGTGCCTAAGTGCCCGAGGCCACTCCCTTACCCAGGTGGCCCTTCCTGCGCACCAGTCTGCCCTCCTGAGGTGCCCGGGAGGCCCTCCCTTCTCTGGGTCTCTGATGTACTCTGTTCTCCTTCGTGCACTGTCAGGAAAGGCAGGGCCAAAGTTGCGCAACTCTTAAACACATGATTGCAAAGTTAAAAACTTAAAACACAGTTTTGTGTGCTACATCAGGGACTGGGGTTTTACTACTATGTCCTTGTTTCACCTCAGTCTTTGGGACAAAGCTGGGAATATTTGTTTGATTTTGAATGAACAAGCATGTCTAGGACACAGGATTTACACATTGTGAACAGAGTCCTGGGGCACCTAGGCTGAGGAGCGCAGCGAGGAGGGGTAGAGGACGTGCTGAGTGTGGGCTGCAGGCACAGCCTGAGATGGTGACTACTGGGATATTAGGGACCTTGGCATGCAGTTGCTGAGACTGCGATGGGTGTAAAAGGCATTGAATTAATTAAGGATATCATTATTTTTCTTTGTAAAAATCCAAGCTTCTGGCCCATCAGAGGATCCCAGTGTAAATTTCCTGAAGAATGTAGGGGAGAGCGTGGCAGCTGCCCTCAGCCCTCTGGGTAAGTGACGTCTGTGTCCTCCTTTGAGATCCCCCGAGTAGTTTGGTGACTTAGTGTGCACATGACCTCTCTATAGCTCTTACCTGGCATGATGCAGAGAAGTGGAAAACCAAGGTGCGCTTGACCCTGAAAGATTCTCTTGCCTCAGACCCACCCTTGCCACATAGCAGGCCACAGTCATCTCAAGGGCTGCTGAGGCCTCAAAGGGCTGAAATTCCCTGACAGGCTTCCAGCCTTTGTGGGATAGGGTGGCGTCAGCCAGCCTCTCATGACCTCACCCTACTAGTAAGGGTCACTGAATTCCTGAGGGGCTGGCTGGTCCCTTTCTCCGCTTGCATTTTCTCTAAGCCGGGCCTTAGGGATTGGATCCGAAGACTTGGTAGTGGCTGTTTCTCTTTGTTCGCACCCCTTAGCCCTTCCCTGCGTGCCTCTGAGTGCTGGCCCTGTGCCCGTGCTGGGAGGTGTGAGGGGAGGCAGTGCTTTGACTGATACCTGGTGTGGGTGCCTCTAGGCATAGAGTAGGTCTGGGCAGTGGGTGGGCATAGCATTTACTGGACCTTAGGCACAGGCTGTGTGCCACTTACTGCTATGGCTTTAATATGTGCCTGCCACCTCCCTCTGAGGGTTGGGAGGTGGGTGCTAGACTTTGTGACAGGGAGTCTTGGTTCAAGATTCTGATAGATCCAGCATTACACTGAAGACAGGGCTACAGTGGCAGGAAATGCCCACCTGGCTTGTCCAGTCATGTAGATAGGAGGGGGCCATGAGCCATACCTGCAGTGGCTCTGGGGATGGGCTGCCCAGTCCTGTCGTTCTGTAAAGTGGCCCTGTAGTACAGCAAGTCACAAACCCAAGGCTAAGTCCAGAGGAGGCCCTCAACGATCTGAGACCCAGCCCGACCTCCTGATTGTGCTGAGTGGGTCTTGGTGGGTTCTGAGTTCCCTGTGTGTCAGATGCTGCCTGGGTCACCCTGGGTCCCACTGTCCCCAAGCTGTGTGTGCTGCTCAGGTGCCTCAGGACTGATCCGGATTCCCCACTCCAGATGTTGGGAGTAATTTTGAAAATGCTCAGAGGGCTCCTAGGAGAAAGGTAACAGCTTTTGCAGGTTTTTTTAACCCTTCACATAGGGGTACACCATTTGCTATTTTAAAAAAAGTATGGGTATTCACTGTTACCATTCTTATTTTTTTTTTGTCTTTTTGAGACAGGGTCTTGCTATGCAGTCCAGGCTGGCCTTGAGCTCACTTTGTGGCCCAGGCTGGTCTTGAACTCAACAATCCTCCTGCCTCAGCCTCCCCAGTGCTGGGATTATAGGCATGTGCCACCACACCCGACCTGAACATTCTTTAAACTTTTCTGTTTGCCTGAACTGTCTTTTTTGGTTTTCTGAAATGAGCTCTTGCAAGGTAGCCCAAGAACTGGGGATGCTCCTGACTCAGCCTCCCAAGTGCTGGGATTACAGGCATGTGCCACCATGTCTGACTTGATTGAACCTTTTCATAATGAAAAGTTGAAGAGAAGCTTTTTGTGTGCATGTGTGTGCATGCTGGGCAAGCCAGTTTATATCCCCATCTTCTTGCAAACTTCTGAAGTAATAAGGACGACCCTGGACTAAGAGAAATGGAAAGCAGTAAGAGAAGACAGGATGTCGTTGAGTTTTGGAGTAGAAGTGGGTGGGGACTGACGGAAGGTGCACAGATCTATGTGGCTGTGCAACGAACACTGGAGAGATGCAAGGTCACCTGCTTAGGTACGGTGACACAGGTCAGGGAGCGGGGCAGTGACAGCCGCCTGTGCAGGTCACTGAGAGGCACCAGGGCCTGGGGCCACTGATAGGCCTGCGCTGCCAGCCCCCTGGGAGGAGCCAGCTGTGGGCCCTGGTGACCAGCAGGGCTGGGGGCTGAGCCCGATGGTAGCCGCGGCTTCTGCCTGTTGGCCTTCCCTGTGGCTGCCCCACGGCGAGGGTGACCTTTTCCTTAGCTCCTTTCTGGGCAGACAGTGGGCAGCTGGCTGAGCTGCTGGGGAAGGCTGTGTACACAGGACAGGGCCTGATGGCAGCGGAAGTATGTGTGTGCCTTGCAAACCAGGCTTCAGGAAAGAAGGGAACAGGAAGGTAATGAATCCGAGTAAGGAATGTCTTGAAAATGACAGCAGAGAAAAAACTTACAAAGACAACTTAGATCCCTTTTGTTATCACCATCCTCCTTCTTTGAGAGGCTTAGATGTTGAGACTAAGTTAGGGTTAATTTGGAGCATGGCAAAGGAAGGAGTCAGTGGAGCGAGTGCCAGTGCCTTTCAAAGTCTGCCTTAAAGTGGCTTTCAGCCTAAATGCCACAGCTAGCTGAAATGAACTGTGTGGGGACAGGGTAGCAGCTCCTTCGGGGTGGGCAGCTCGGTGGTAGAGGGATCTGGTCCCCAGTACCGACAAAGAAAAAAACCATCTTTTGGTACATAAAGCATTGTTAATTTTACTTGGGTTTTAAACCAAATGAAGAAATAAACCCTGAGAACAGAGGTACTAGAAACAGCCTCGCCCAAGAGGGGGCTTCCGGGTGGGGGAGGGGGACAGCCTGTGCTGATCACTTGGACCAGTAGACAGCCATGGAGCTTGGCGAGGAACACAAGGGAGGTCAGCACATGAGGGAAGGGCACTGGTAACGTAGGGAAGCGGGGAAATCTGGGAGGAGCGGGGCTACGGCTCGGCCCAGAACAGCTTCTACAGTGGCAGAAATACAAACACTGGATGTTGTTTTGACCCAAAGCCGAGTTCTTGAGAGAATAAAGGAAAAGGGAGGTAAGCACCAATGTGGAGAAGTGAACAGACCTGGACTTAGCGCGGGGGTGGGCTCTAACTGCTCTAGGCCTCGGCCCTTTGTGCAGGTGAGGGACTCTGGAAACAGCAGGAGTGGTTCTGCCCTCCGTGCCCCAGTGAGCTTGGTGGGCCCCAGCTGGCCAGGCTGGCCTGTGCTGTCAGCCTCGGTTTGCGTGCTCTGCCTGCCTTCCCCAGCGGATCCAGTGTCCACACTCTGTGTGTCACGCTGCACACCCCTGCATACGGGTGTGTCGCGTGCTCTCCTGAGCTGTGGAGTTCGTGGTTCAGAAGCTGACCTCGGATGCTGGCCAAGGTTAATGTTTGTCCATGCTGGAGGCAGGGAGGGGACAGTGTGACTGTGTGTCAGGAGCATGTTTCTGAAAGCTGAGGATTGGGGGCCAGGGTATCCAGAGGTGAGGGGTGACCATCTGTTTGCCCCTGGCTTGTGCATTTGTCTTATGTGGCCACATCCGAGGCTTGGAGTTAAGTCCAGGGCCTACGTCCACACGTTGAGGGCCCCGGCCCATCTTTGCACACGGGTGATGGCTGAGTGCGCTCTCTAAGCCTGCAGTCCCTGCACATGGAGATCCTACCTGCAGGTGAGGCTGTGACCTCACAGCATCTGCTGCTCGGCCTCTAGGCATTGAAGTTGACATAGATGTGGAACACGGAGGGAAGAGGAGCCGTCTGACCCCCGTCTCCCCAGAGAGCTCTGGTACCGAGGACAAGGGCAGCTCTCAGCCCAGCAGCTGCTCTTCTGAACCCCGCAAACCCGATGGTGACGGTGCAACGCAGTCTCTGGCGGAGCAGATGAAGAAGATCGCCCTGGAGCCCCTGGGGCAGACTGAGGTAGGCCTGTCCCCTCCCTTGCTGGCTCCCTCCTTGCCCCACAGGCTCTGACCTCATTAAATCCCCAGCCCGCCCCTCCTTTTTTTGTACCAGCAATCGAACTCAGGACCTTGGGCATGCCAGGCAGGTGCTTGTGCTGCTGAGCTTATATCGCCGGCCCAGGCTCTGCCTCTGGTCCAGAGTGACAGTGGAGCCTGAATCGTGCTGCCAATCCTGGTTCCTGGCCAGCGCTGCTGCACCCTGCCCCTGTGTGCTCACAGTGCGTTTTCTCCAGGAACAGATGGAATCTGACAACTGTTCTGGTGGAGATGACGACTGGACTCACCTGTCCTCAAAGGAAGTGGACCCATCCACAGGGGAGCTTCAGTCTCTCCAGATGCCAGAGTCGGAGGGGCCCAGCTCTCTGGATCCTGCCCAGGAGGGGCCCACAGGGCTGAAGGAGGCGGCCTTGTACCCACATCTCCCACCAGGCAAGTGGGCTTGAGTTCCACCTGCTGCCCTCTCTCAGGCCCCACCCTGAAGGATCAGGGCGTCTGTCCCGTGGGGCTTCTCACTGACAGAACCTGAGGAGTGGGTCCTATGTGTCATTATGATGTAAGCTTGGCCCATTTTAATCATCTCTAAAATTTTAACACCTAGACCAAGAATTGAGGCCAGCCAGATGCAGTGGTGCCTACTTGTAACCCCAGCATCAGGGAGGCTGAGCAGGGAGATCAGGAATTTAAACCTGGCCTGGGCAATTTAGTGATGTAGAGACCTTGTCTCAAAATTCATAAGGGAGCTGCTGGGGACAGCCCCAGTGGAGGCAGCGTTGGGTTTGGCTTGCATGTGGAGGGCTGGCCACCTTGGTGCCCACAGGCACCAAGTGAGTGGGCCACCTCACAAGGCCAAGGCGCCCAGGGTGACGCTCCCGCCCAGGCAGTACTGTCCAGAGCACCTGGAGAGTGGCCTGTGTCTGGGCTGTGATGGTGCTTGGCTCCTGCGCGGGAGCCTGGGGGGCAGATTCTCCAACTTTAAATGGTAAGAAGAGTCTGAAACCATGCAAGCCCAAGGTGAGATTCATGGGGCTGGGGATTTAGCTCAGCACAAGGTCACAAGTTTGATTTGTGGTGGGGGGGGCGGGGAGACATGCTTAGCCAAGATGAGATTCAGGTCACTGTCTGTGGGGAGGCGGTGCTTTTCTTTCTCTGCTTTGCTGGTTGAGATGGTGGTTGTGTTGCTCAGGCTGGTCTCAAACTGCTTGGCTGGAGTAGTCCTCCTGTCTTAGCCTCCTCAGTAGCAGTGACTCAGTCACTTAAGACAGTGGCCATGGTGCCTGGTGGTGAAGTTCACGGGACACACAGTATGGCTGTTCCTGAGCAGCAGGGCCTGTGGGGTCTGCACTGTACGCCACTGCCCCTGCGAGCCAAGGTTGGGCCAGGATGCACGTACACGATCGGCGCTGACCCTTGCACCTCCTGTTCCCTGTTTTGGCAGAGGCTGACCCCCGGCTGATTGAGTCACTGTCGCAGATGCTGTCCATGGGGTTCTCAGATGAAGGTGGCTGGCTCACCCGGCTCCTGCAGACCAAGAACTATGACATTGGGGCTGCGCTGGACACCATCCAATATTCGAAGCACCCACCGCCGTTGTGATGCGCTCGTGGCCCTGGTCTAGCCTGGTCTGGCCTGCTTTCTTGCCTCCTGGTGGCGTTAAGTAGTGTAGAGCAGCAAGCCTGTGAGGGCCACTTTCTTGGTGTCCTTCCAGAATCTTGGGGTGGGGACGAGCCATGGGGCGGGAGGGCAGGAGACTCAGGCATGGGTGACAGAGTCAGGGCTTCTGCTGCCCCTGCCATGTCACCAGCACAGACATGTCTTGCTCATGGCCTTGTGCTTTTTCTTTCTTACAAATGACTAATCATAGACCCCTAGCTGATGCTGTTGGGTGCCGTCACCGCTCGTGAGTCCTGGGGGAGGTGAGGCCCAGGCCAGCGCGTTTCCTGTTGGAAGTGGCGAGGGGCTGGTGAGGGATGTCACTCAGCGGCCTTCTGCGTGACCACTCTAGTCTCATGTCTAAATGTAGTAACCGCTCTTTAAGGAAATTCCTTTGTAGCCACCCTGTTCGCTGATCTGGAATCACCTGTCATTAAACGGCGTATGCACTTTAACCCATGGTGCTGCCCTTAGTGTCTATCGGCGGAGTATTCACTGTTGGCCTGTCGTGCTCTCGGGTGATTCACACGGGCCTACACCAGTTCAGCACAGGCTGTCTCACCTTACAGGTCATCGTCAAAGTCCTCCCCAGTTGTAAAGAGGCTGCACAGTTGCATGGGTGGGGCCCGCTGAGGCTGTTGGATTCCGGGCCCACCCTCTCCCCAAGAGGTCCCCATTGCCGGGGCCTGCTTTAAGATTTCCCCACGGGGCCTCCCTGGGCCTGGTGTGGCCTGAGGAGGTGGGGCGGTGGTGGCGGGCCTGCAGAAGCGGCCTTCACTGGGGGGCTCAGCCTGTGCTGGACTTACTGGCCTGGGTCCTGTCTGTATGGATGCTAGTGGCTCTGTGTCCACCTTCGAGCTGTTTCCAGGTGACAGGAGAAATCGTGCCCACTTAGAAGGTGGGGCTGTAACTGGTGGGGCCGGGCCGGGCTGCTCCCTCCAAAGACCAGGCTCGCTGGTGCTGCCGCATGCAGAGCTCGGGAACCAGCAGCCAGTATTTGCCTACATGGAAACGCAGACACGTGAGAGAGGGGCTTGGGTGTGGCTGACTGGCCTCCCTGCCAGCGCCTCACTCTGACCTTGAGGTCACAGACAGCCAGCGTCCCCTACTGCACCCTTCCTCAGTTAAGTCCCGAGACCTGACAGATGTCCCACGTCACCAGGTGCCCACCCAGCTGTGGACCTACAGGTCAGGTGGGGAGTGAGGCCCCCAAGACGCAGCACTAAGCCCTGGTGCCAGGGGTGACGGTGCTAGGTCTGGCTTCTGCCACTTAAGGAGCAAGAGGAGCTCTGAGAATTGGGGCTGACTGCTTACAAAGATAAAAGCAAAGACAGCAGGGCCCCACACAGCCTCGTAGGAGTATGGATGCCTGACAAGGTGGCTTTGCCCCTGAACCTGCTATGGCCTCACTGAAGCTGCACAGGCTGCATGGGGGGAGTGACACATGTAGAGACAGAGAATATACAGCTTGTTCTGTTTTGGTTTTTGAGATAGGGTCTCCATAACCCAGGCTGGTACTGAACTTGCTATTGTGACAAGGCTGGGCTGGAACCTTTGATCCTCCTGCTTCAGCCTCCTGAGGCTAGAATTACAGGCATGCACCACTGTACCTGGATTGTCACGGTTTTTTGTAACCTGCAAGGTTCTGGGCCACGTACCTGCCTGGGGTCACTCGTCAGCGCTATAAGGTTTAAGGCCAGCTGGGCACCACAGCAAGACCTTGTCTGAGAAATGGAACGAATACGGCATCACGGGGGCTGGGGCATAAGCTTGACACATGCAGAGCCCTGGGTCCAGCCCACAGTGTGCAGATGTGCACTTAGGTGTGCGTACACACTGCAAGCTTTCCCCTGGTCTTGGGACCAGACGGGAACTCTGCCCATCACTGACCTCCTGTGATTCAGAGGTGACCTCAGCATCACCTGAGTCCTGGACATCAAGGCCACGTGGAGACTCTGCTGTGCTCAGGCTTCGTCTCCTGGGGAGGGAAGACTCCATCAGTTGCCAGTTGTCAGCAAAGGGTCCCCTTGGAACTGACAGCAGCCCAGGAGGAAACTCTGCGGCCATGGCAGTTTCCAGGCCCTGTACCACTGGGGAGGGGAGCCTGCCTGGTGGCTCTGCCCTCTGCCTCTGCCCTGCTTGCTGCTTTTAACCAGACTCTGCCTCCTGCAGACATCTGTCCCAGCAGGGCCTCAATGAAACGCCGGGAGTTCCTGAAGTCCACTTCTCCAGGCCAGAAGCTCCCAGGCCCATCAGCTGTGCTGGCCACACTTTACCTGACCAACCATGCCTTTAAAGCCAATTCCTGCTAGGCACTGTGGTACACACCTGCCTGTAATCTCAGCACTTGGGAGGCTGAGGCAGGAGAATGGATCCCCTGTGAGTTCAAGGCCAGCCTTGGCTGCATAAGCAAGTTCAAGACCAACCTGCACTACATGCTGAGGACCCTGCCTCAGAAAATCCCAGAACAAAAACACACCCCCCCCAAAAAAAACCCCATTCTTCCTGCGGTCTGGGATGCAGAGAAGTAACTGGCACTGCACAGGGTGTCCACGCCCAGTGCCCACTCAAGCACACAGCAGTGCACTCAGGACTCCTGCTAGGACTGTCCCTCCATGGGGCCTACCTAGCCCACCCTGCAAGAGGGGGAGATTATCTTTTTCTGGGGAGTGTGGGCCCGGTGCAGGCTGTGTGGAGACCCCTGTCCAGCAGCTCCTGGCTGGGCCGCCCCCTGTGTGGGGGAGAGGTGGGTGCTGAGGTCTGGACTGCAGCCCAGGGTCTCAGCCTGGCTCCTGAGACTGGGGCTGCTCACGGGGCCACACCTGGGAAGGCACTGGGGGCAATGTGTCTGAAGTTTCCCGGGGCGGGGAATGGGGACTCCAGCCTGTAATCTCATCCCAGCACTCAGAGCCTGAGGCAGGACTGCTGTGAATTCCAGCCTGGGCTACACAGCAGAACCTGCCTCAAAAACCAAAACCAGAAGAAAAGATGGAACTGAGGTGGTCCGGGGCTCTTAGCTGCCCCCAAGTGTAACAGAGCCCTGGGACCATCGGCCAGGGGCATGGCTGTGTGGCTCCAAGCAGAGCCGGCCTGAGGACACAGCACCCCAGGTGCCCACAGCACCACCTGCTCAGCCTCAGAAGCTCACCCACGGCCTGCCGGTGCCTCTGCCCTGTCAGCTCCCTGGGCGGTGTGGTCCCTCCTGCCCAGTCCTTCCAAGGGGCTGGACAAAGGTGGCCGCCACACCCAGCTTCAGCACTCAGTGGCACGGAGCACCACCTGCTTGAGGAGTGATGGGAGAACCCTCTTAAATGAGTGTTAGTGGAGGCCACGTTCCGGACTGAAAGGCAGAAGTGTCACCAGCCACCACTCTATGTTGAGACAGCGTCTCCCCATGTAGCCCAGGCTGGCCTCAAACTCAGGTGATCCTCCTGCCTCAGGCTGCTGGGGTCACAGGTGTGTGCCATCACGCCCGCTCATTCAAGTTACCTGAAGCAGCGGGTTCAATGGTCATGGTAATAGCGTTCCTTCTACTTTGATCCTACCCAAAAGAGCAAGCTGGTATCTTTCAGCGGGTCCTGCTCCCCAGCCCTGCTTAGTAACTCCAGCCGACCTGCTTTTGACTCGGTTTTGCTTTCTCTGGCTGTTCTCTGCAAATGACACCAGCCTCTGCTGCCTAGGCCACCCAAACTCATTTTGTGGACCCAAAGCTGCCTGGCCGCCATGCTGCAGTTCGGCCTGGCCTGGCCAGGCCTCCAGGTACCGGCTACCTGTGGGCCCTTGGGGACCTGCAGAGAGACCTGAATGCGTGCTCTGGGGCACGACAGGACGGTGAAGGCGAAGCCAGTGGGCACAGGGCCCAGTGTGGGGCCAAGACTGCGGGGCCTAGGGATGCCTCTGGGGTCTGAAACCTCCCAGCAGCAGGGCTGAGGACAGATCCTGAACTGAGACAGGTTCAGGGGCTGTGGGCAGCGCTGATTAGAGCCTCTCTGCAGATGGGATTACACTGCACGGAGACCCTGCAGACCACGAGACCACTGGGCCTGCACCCAGGAAGGTCAGCTGGGCCGCACCACCCTGCTACCTCCACACGTGTGTCTGAGGTAACTGTAGACTCTGATCTGTCACAGATGAGCCAGTCCGGCCCCCACAGGGAGGGAAGACAGACTCTTACCCCTTAGCCTCCTATTTGTTCAACGCACGACTTCGGTTTCCTTCAGAGCAGTCAGGGACCCGAAAGCTGCTTTCACTAAAGAATGACTCCCGCCGGGCATAGTGGTACACAGTGCAATGCCAGCACTCTAAGAGGTTGAGGCAGGAAGATCACAAGTTCCAGCCTAGCCTGGACTATTTAGCAAATTATTGAGGCCCTAAATAAAAAAGGGCTGGGGGCTGAGGATTTAGCTCAGTGGCACAGCATCTGCCTGGCAAGCGCAAGGTCATGAGTTCGATTCCTGGTACCGGAAAAAAAAAACCCAATCAATCAATCAATCAGGAAGGGCTGGACTCAAACTCAAAGCAATCCTCCTGCCTCAGCTGCCTGAGTGCTGGGATCACAGGTGTGGCACCACACCTGGCTCCAGGTGCCCCCATGGGTGACAGAAATCAGGACAAAGTCTGACCTTCATTTTGTGTCTGTCTCCTTTATCACCTAAACCAGATTGGGGTCAGATCCTCCCTCAGCTCCAGATAAAGCACATTCATCATGCAGGGAACATGGGTCTAACTGCTGGCACTACAGTGACTTGGCCCTGACTTCATATAACCCATCCCATGCCCCTTCAAGGCTGAAGACCAGGGTAAGAGATTCCAGGGACAGGCAGCGGCCAGGGACCCTCAGCAGTCTCCAGCCATGGCCACTGTGACAGCCCCAACCCACGAACATCTCAGGGAGACATCAGGGACAGGGACTTCAGTCACCTTGCAAATCAGCACCAGGAGTGAGGACAGTCTCCAGCCCTCCCGCAAACCCACAGAAGCTGGTCCTGGCCCTCGGCCCTCCACCCATGCTGCAAGTGGAGGCCCCGCTCCTTGCTCTGACCCTGCCCACTCAGGCAGCCTGTGGCCCTCACTGCCGTGTGTGCTTTTCTGTGACCAGTCCTCCTTAAGAGACCCTTCAGACCCCATCCAGTGACAGCAGGGGGCTCTCATCACCGAGGCAGAACCAGGTGTATGCTCCATGTGCAGAGCGCGGCGGCAGGGAGACTGCCAATGGTGTGCACCTGCAACCCCAGAATGTTAGGAGGCTGAGGCAAGAGGAGCCCAAGCCTGAGCCCAGCCTGGGAGACTCAGTGACTTAGTGAGACTGCCTCAGAACAAACAGACAGACAAAAGGACTAGGTATGTAGCTCAGTTCAAAGGCTTTGGACTCAGTCCATAGTATTGAAAAATAAATTACAACCCCACATAACGGGCTCCTCTACCTTAGTTGCCTTTTATTCAATAGAAGCCAGTAATCGGGCTATCAGGAAGATGAAATAAGAGCACCTATGTGATCAGTCCTCTCTCAGGAGTTCAGGTGAGCAGTTTCCTGTGAACTACTGCCTGGACTCTTCACCTTCCTGTCAACTCAACTGATTTAAGAACTCAACTCCAGCTGGGTGTGGTGGCGCATGCCTGTAATCAGCACGCAGGAGGATGGGGCAGGAGGATTGCTGCAAGTTCGAGGCCAGCCTGGGCTACACAGAGACTGACCGCCCCCCCCACCAAAAAAACCCAAAAGCAAAACAACACCTCAATGCCAAGGTGGGGGCTGAACTCAATGGCAGATAGAGCAGTGCTTAGCAAGTACAAGGCCTGACTTCAGAACAGCCAGCATGACAAGCCGGGGGTACTGCTCCGTCTGAGGAAGGGTCCTCGGTGTTAGGCTGTGTCCAGTCGTCCCCACAAAACTGCAAGTGCTCCCAGCGGAGCTTTCAGAGGGCCCACCCGGGGTGTGAGCGGCCCCGCCCAGGAGGCAGGTAGCCTGGAAAGGATGAAAGGCAGAGGCAGCTCTGTCTGGCTTCCACTCCGAGCTTCCCACTCCGAGGGTCCTGTGTGTGCCCCGCCCTGCCCACGTGACGCAGCTCAGCACAGACCCACCCTCGGGAGGCTTTTGCTTCATTTGTCTCGTTTCTTGCACAAGCTACATCTCCAGCCCCCGCGTGTGCACCCTCTCTCTCTTTTGTGGCCCTTGAGATTGAACCCAGGGATGCTCTATACTCAGCTATATCCCCAGCCCTTTTTATTTTCTTAATTTTGAGACAGGTGCTAAGTTGCCCAGGTAGAACTTGAACTTGTGATCCTTCTGCCTCAGCCTGCTTAAGCTCAGATTCACTTCACTTTTGAGAGTGTTTCAGTGCAGCTGAAATACAGTAGCCAGCATTTCCTCCGGGAGGATTGTTCATGGTATTTAATTTGCCATCCAATGATCTCTTCACTGGGCTGGGGGTTTAGCTCAGTGGCACAGTGCCTGCCCAGCAAGCGCAAGGTCGTGAGTTCAATCCCCGGTACCGGAAAAAAGCCAAAAAAAAAAAAGGCTGGGGATAATGATCTCTTCGCTGCATGCCGCCACCACCCAGTCAAGTTGAAGCAGGGCAAGACAACATGCCCTTCAAACCACGGTACCTGAGTGACAGCTCAGAAGCCTGTCCCTGGAGCAGATTTAGTTTTTGAACATGACGTCTGCAGTCAGCACCAGAGCCCTCACCATAAGCCTGAGAAAGAAAAACCAAAACAAACTAAGAATGCTGAGAAACAGGCCCATCTGAGCTGAACCTCAGGGAGCATGGACTGTATTCTGCAACGGTGAAGACGCCTGGAGCAGTGTGGGGAACCATGGCCCCGTGTGCTATTTCAAGGGTGGGTACAAACCAGCAGGCTCTGAAGTCACCTGGCTGCCCCCAGTCCTGAACTCCACCATCAGGGACAAACTCAGACCAAAGCCCTGCAAGAAATGGGTCATGAACATTAAAAAGGTCACTAAGGAAGCTGTCAACATATACGAAATGACACCTGCTCTCACCGATAAAGGAATACAGCATAGAATGACGTACTTTGTTTGACTTAGCAATTGCCAACTGTTAGTGAGCATTTACTGAGTTCATGTGTGTGCCAGGCCCTGTCTAGAGGCTGGTATCACCGCACTGAGCCCCAGCCACCCGAGGAGGAGGAAGAGATGGAAGGGGAGGGGCAGGTGGGCCAGTGTCTGTGGGAGACTTGCTCTGCTGCTGTTGTCTTGAGATTATTTCTTGGTGGTACTGGAGAATAAACCTAGGGCGTCTGCACTGAACTATACCCCCAGCCCACTTTATTTTCTAATTAATTAATTCCTTTTTTCTCACTTTTTAAGACAGTCTAAGTTGATAAATTGTCCTGGCTAGGCTCAAACTTGTGATCCTCCTGCCTCAGCTTCCCTAAGTGCTAGGATAATACGTCCTTTTTTTTGAGATGAGGTCTCAGCATGTTGCCCAGGCTGGCCCTGAATTCCTGGACTCAAGTGATCTTCCTGCCCCACCTTCCCACAAGCTGGGACTAAAGGTGTGCACCATGGCGCCTGGTGCTGTGATTCCCGTCGGCCCATCTTGTCGCGCATTCTCCACCACGCAGGATAGAAGAGCTGTGTCTGTGCTGAACACGAGTAGCCCTTTCCTGTCATTATTCCCTGAATGATGCAGTGTGACACATATTTACACAGCACTAGGGATCACGAACACTCTGGAGGAGATTTTGAGTATACGGGAGGCAGTGCTTCACACTGTAGTCCCAGCTACTTGGGAGAGGCTGAGGCAGGAAGACCATAAATTCAAGCCCAGTCTGGGCACTTTAGCAAATTAATGAAATGCTGCCATAACATAAAAAAGGGTTAGAAATGTAGCTCAGTGCAAAGGCCCTACGTTCAATCCTCAGTACCACCATCACCAAAAAAAAAGGAAGCCTGTAGGTTATATGCAAATCCTAGCCCCCCCCCTTTTTAAAATTTGTATGTATGTGGAACGAGACCTCTGCCGAGGTGGCGGACCTCAAGAAACAGTGTGACGTGCTGGTGGAGGAGTTCGAGGAGGTGATCGAGGACTGGTACCGGAACCACCAGGAGGAGGACCTCACCGAGTTCCTGTGCACCAACCACGTGCTGAAGGGCAAGGACACCAGCTGCCTGGCAGAGCAGTGGTCTGGCAAGAAGGGCGACACGGCTACCCTGGGAGAGAAGAAGGCCAGGAAGAAGGGCAGCCGGGCCAGGGCGGCCAGTGGCGGCAGCAAGCAGAGGAAGGAGCTTGCAGGGCTCCAGGGGGACCCTGGTGCCAAGGACGAGGAGGAGGGGGGCATCCAGAAGGCGTCACCGCTCCCACACAGCCCCGCTGACGAGCTCTGAGCGACCTCGAGGCTGAAGACTCCGGCGCGATGTTCCAGCCTGGGGACATGGCAGCTCAGGACCATGACGGCGCGCACCCGCCGCGGCTCCCTTCCTGGCCTGGGCTTCTGGTGGCCACGGGGTCAGGACTCGTAGGACCCAGTGTGACTCAGGAGGGACAGGAGCAGATTCTGGAACCAGACGAGAGATCTGCAGAGCCCAAGGAGGGCGCCCAGCCTGCATCGCCTCCCCTGTACCTGAGAAGCAAGACTGCACCCCCAGCCCTGTGCCCAGCCCTCCTGGGGGCTCCAGGAGTAAAGACGTGTTGCCTTTAAAAAAAAAAAAAAAAAAAATTTGTATGTATGTATTTATTTTGACTTTTTGAGACAGGGTCTTGCTATGAGGCTCAGGCTGGCCTCAAACTCCTGGTGATCCTCCTGCCTCAGCCTTCCAAGTGCTGGGAGTACAAGATGTATTCCACCACACCCACCTTCTAGGTCACTTAGAAGGGAGCTGAGTATCCTAAGATGCTGATGTTGGAGACCCTGGAACCCCCATATAAGGGACAATTACAATTGATCTTTTCTTTTTTTTTTTTGTCTTTTTGGAAAAAAAAAATGTGTTTTCACTATGCAGTGCAGGTTGGCTCTGAACTCCCAGTGATGCTCTTGCTTCAGCCCAAGCACTGAGATTACAGGCGTGTACCACACTAGGCCGAGCTGGTGTTTTGCAAGTGAGGTCCAATATGCAAAGAAGGAAATGCACACTTGTTTGTGAAGAGCATTCCTGACAGGTCACGGGCGTGGAATTCCTGATTCCAGGAGAGTGGGAGCTTGGCAGGATGCAAGGGTACAAGGTGAACACGTGGTGCCCACTTGGACTACCCCAGAGGCGCCTGGTTCGTCTGCATCAGTGCTTGGTGCAAATGCAGAAACCACCTGTACTCCCAGCACCCAGGCTGGGGCGGGAGCACAGTGTGAGTTCAGCCCTTCCTTACTCCAGGGATCCAAAGGTCACCTGTGGGGTCTTGTGTAAGGGAGGGGCTGAAGCTGGAAACTGGTTACATGCGTGGGGGCAAGACAAGGCCGGAGTGCCTAATGCAGCCAGGCTACTTGCCTGAGACAATTCCAGTCATCAGTTTCTAGGCAGCCCCGTGTCCTGTGACACTAACTTTGTCAAATGTATAAATAAATGTCCCTAGGTGGTAGTTCACTTCCTTTTCCTCCCATCAGGACAGAGGGCTCCACCTGACCCCAGCTTTCTTCTTTCCCTGTTTTCCCCCAGGAACACTGAGAGCTGCACGGGATGCAGCAGTAGTGGTGGGCACCGCAGGAAGTGGGCAGAGGCCGGGGTGTGGCTCAGCGGAAAGGGTGTGTTCAGCGCCTGTCATGGCAGTGCTGTGGCCCCAGCACGGGACCCAAGAATCAGGAAAGTCAAGATAACACAGGAGGAGCGGGCTGGGAATGAGCAGGACCTGCCAATGGCAGGATCCCAGTGCTGTGCCATATAATTCCCAGGACTCCTGCTGTGGAACTCTCAGGCCCCAAGAGAGGTCACTGCACAGAAGGACACAGTGCCACGGGAGCTGCTACCCGACCCCTCGGTGTCTTCCAACACCGCAGAGTGCACTGTTACTTTCACTTTTATCCTTGTTCGACTCAGCTTCACTCTGCAGAGCTGGTTTCTCCCCTACCCCTTTGCCCTTCACCTCTGAAATAAACCCTGGCACTGTTTTCGACTTACCTTACCCAATACTTTGTTCAAGGCAGGAAGGGCCCTGGGATACCTTTCACCGGCGCCGTATCTAAGAGAACAGAGAGCCCTTTGGCGTTGCTAGCCAGGAGATAACATTTTGTTTGGGCAGCCACAAAGGAAAGCTCAGGGACCAGAGGCCACGTAAGGCCCATGCAGGGTCACTGTTTTTTCCCTGTGCGGTTCCTTTTCTTCCTCCTCCCTGCACTCTGTCCCATAGGCCGGGAATGCAGGAGCCAATTCTCAAGGCGCAGGGAGCTGTTCGCACGTTTTCTAGCTGTGGGGGTGGGGAAGGAATGTAGGCTTTTGTTTTTCTTTCTAGCTGCTTGCATTCACTGCACGGATATGCCTTGTTGTCCCCTCCTAAATCAGCCTGCTCTCCACTTATTCTAGTTATTAAGCGGCTCTTTCTCGGTCTGGTTTTGGTCAGGGTGCTGCCATCTCGTCTCACTGCATGGCTACGCGTAACTTTTGTGTGGCACGGATCAACAGCTGGTGCCGTCGTTCTTCTGCACCTCTTTGCTTTCTTCAATGACTAGCCTTATGAGTTAAACTTCTGATTTTTAAACAGCATATGGCCTTGTGAGAACAAGAGAGGAAACTTTTCTTTATTCTCACACAAAAAGGAAAACTGTATAGTACTCTATCCCTTTTAAGAACTCAGGCAGCCTCTGCTGGTGCAAAACCTTTGAGGGGCAGAACTACACCAGAGGCCTGCTCCTGGCCAACAGGGTGTGACCATCTCACCATGCTGGGGAGGGCACCCAAGAGAAAAAAAGAGCTCGCTGGGGAGATAGCTCAGCAGTACAGCACCTGCCAGGCAAGTGCATGGCTGTGAGCTTGATTCCCAGTACCAAAAGAAAAAAAAATTCCAAAGCTTTTACACCAAGGCCCCCAGCCACTGGAGAAGCCTGCCTGAGGTGATCGCCAGTAGGCTTTTGTACTTCCCTGTTTAAATGAGGGTAAGTTAAAGACCTACGCCTGAGGCCTGAAGGACACAGCATTTAGTGTGAGTGTACGAAAACAGCCGCTGCCACCTTAGTACTTTTTCCATCGGAGTAAATGAAAGAGATGTCTCCCCATATGGTTTCGCTCTGGCTAAGTAGTCATCACCTGCACTTTCAGGTGAGCCATCAGGTAGATTAGAATAAATCCAAGTTGGGCCATCTAGGGGTTCAACCAGGTGGCTAAGAGAACTCTGCTTGGGAAGTCCTCCCATGACCTGCTGGAGGTGGCACTAGGCCAACCGAGGGCCAGCCCCTTGTCCCCAGGAGCTCATGGGTCCCCAATCTGGAGACAAAGGCTTTTCTCCATGGTAAATGATGCCAGCATCACCCTAAGGTTTGGAGAGAGAGGTCTGTCCAGGTTGTGTAAAGTCTCACAAGGGGCACCTGTCGATTTCAGGTCTCCTCCGTAAGCATGGGATGCTACCTTAAGGAGTGCAGGCCTAGCTTTCTCCTCTCTGTAGCTCCCAAGACAAGCAGATGGGAAATCTGTGGGATCTCCTCACCAGATTCCACTACTAGGCTGTATCCTTGACAAATGGGACAGGTTTGATCCTGACAATCTAAAACAAGGACAGCTTATCCACTACTGTAATATGGTTATAATATCGTCAGGGGGCTGGGTGTGGTAGCACATGCCTGTAACCCCAGCACTCAGGAGGCTGAGGCAGGAGGATTGTTGCAAGTTCCAGGTCATCCTGGGCTACAAAGTGAGCTCAAGGTCAGCCTGAACTGCATAGGGTGACACTGTCTCAAAAAAAAAAAAAAAAAAAATATCGTCAGGGTTCAATACAAACTGGGAGTTGGTAAAAGATGGATATGGGATGGTTACTTTAAACTATGACACCATCCCCCAGTTACTGCGTGTCAGCTTGGAAAATAAAATGCCTCATGCTCAGGCTTCTGTGACTCTTTCTCAAAGGGAATGCTCAAAAACCATTGCACTTAGTAGGAGCCCCGAGGAAGACAAAAATATCCTGGAGGAGGACCTGAGACTCCCATTTGTCTCTCAGGGGGATCTCAGTCTTGCTGATTTATTTAGGAAGGATAAATCAATAAATCAGGCACATCCCCTCCAAGTGACCAGGGGCCCCATTAGCGCCCACTTCCCCAGAGGAGTCCCCAGCACTCTGCAGGGAACACACAGCTCTAAGCCCTGCAGGTTGAACCCGGAGTGGTGCTTCCTACTGCTTTGGCTCACACCTTGCCCTGCCCCTAAGAGAAGTCCCAGGGATGGAAGGAAGCAGTCGAATGCAGTTCCACAAACACCCTTTCCAGTTCCAGACGCCCAAATGTGCAAGGAAAGAGCAGGCCAACTGCCAGAAGATGCTAGCAGGTCTGCAGTGGGTTCCAAACTTTGACCCTTACTTTTGACTTGTCATGGCAGCCGGTGCAATTCATCTTGGCCTCTTGCTGTACCGCAGATGAAAAAAAAAAAAAATCATCTTGGCCTCTTGCTGTACCATAGACTTCTACAAGAGGCTAAGAACAATGTACTTTATATTTTTTTATTTTTTGTCTTTTTGAGACAGGGTCTCACTGTGCAGTTCAGGCTGGCTTTGAGCTCACTTTGTAGCCCAGGCTGGTCTTGAACTTGCAAGGATCCTCCTGCCTCAGCCTCCTGAGTGCTGGGATTACAGGTGTGTACCACCATACCTGGCTGAGCAATGTACTTTTTAAAGGAAAACAAACCACCTTTGAACAGCTATTCTCCCTTCAACAGAGCCAAACTGGGACTGTAATGTCCAGGATGGACTCAAAATGATGTCTGGCATGTTAACTGCTATTATAAAAATAAAAAGCTGCATTAAAAAGTCTGCTAGTCTTGGCCCTGCCCTTGAGAGCCAGAAAGGTCCAGAGTCAGCGGAGGAGCAGCCGATGAACAAGGACGCGGAGAACACAAGAGTACTGATGCCCAATGACTCAGAGGTTGAGCTGACTGGGGATGCAAGAGCCATTCGGGAGCCGGAAACCAGGAGGACCTTGCGCAATACTTGGGCAGATGCCCTGGAAGCCACTGTCCCGCTAACTGTACAGGCTGCGGTGGATGAGCGGTGGGAGCTCCGGAGAGGTCTGCACCGAGACTTCATGGATTACATGGGTGCCCAATATTCAGATTCCGTAGAACTGCCTTCATGGGAAGGAGGAGCCCCGCGAAATCATGACTATAGAGGAAAAAGTGCACAGCCCGTTGCTGGACACCAGTACCAGTCTCTCAGTCCTTCTTTTCAGCCCTGGCCTTCGTCCAGCCGTCACACCTCAGTGAGGGGAGTCACTGAGGAGGAAGTAATCTGCTATATTTTGCAACCCTTGGGGTGTAACTGCTTGTTGGATCTTTCTTGCATATCTTTGTTTCCCTGAGAAACCACTTTGAGGATGCCAACATGTATTGCAGCAGCCATTGATGATTTCCTACCAATCTGTCCATAACTCTGTAACGTTTGTATTGTTCCTATGCTATTTCGTAAATAGATGTATGGTTGTTACTATGTGTTTTCAACAACAACCATTGAGAATAGTCAATGATTACTTGATCACTCACTCATGTATAGCTCAATTTGTATTCCCTGGAGACTG